GATGATGATGATGATGATGATGATGATGATGATGAGAATGACGACGATGATGATGGTAACGATGATGATTTGCTGACTTGTCATTAGCTACTTTCACTTGTTCTTGGTTCGTTTTCTTATGCAAAATCATTTACTTCGTTTGTGGTGAGTACCTTACTATATTGCTTTCCTCAGGGTTTTCTCATTCAACCCATTGTCCATCAGATTCTTCCAACCGCGGGGGCAGATACATCCTGAATGTCTCCCAAATGACTTTATCCTCACTGGATTATGAGGTCACCTAATGACTTTGGGAATCTTTCGAGCCAGATATAAATTAACTGGTCCACTGGTTCTTGGCGCAACTGTGCCATCCTGTCTCGGTTGCTTATCCCATCTTTCCCTGCTTGGATACGGTTGGCCGGTTGGAATCCAACAGAATGACCAACCTGTAATTTGTTTCCTGAACACGTAACTCTACTCAACTTTGTCTAAACTTTGTGGCGAATCCTGATCGAGCACGACCGTTTGATTCGCCTCTTTCGAACTGTTTCAGCATGTTGGCAATTACTACTTCTAGCTGTGACTGACATTTCGGAAGTCGTCTTAGTGTTAGTTGAATAAAATAAATAAAAATAAATGAAATAAAATAAATAACTAAAAATAAGGCCGTGTTTAAGGAAGGCAGTTGTCCGGCGAACATAAAACTGTATCGGACATTCCGATTTTATTATTAAGTGTCGTATTAGAATATAGAACTATGGTAAAGTACTCTGCAACGCTCCCGTTATTGTTGTCCCTTCTGCTAGTTTCCGTTGTTTCGAACATTTGCTGATTTTTCAGTACTGGATAGATTAGGCTGACTGACTCAGTTGGGTTGATCTGGTGACCTATATTGATCGGGGGTTAGGCGACAAAGCTTGTCACGTGTTTGATTGCTCCATTTTTTTAACAGATCAATAAATTGTGAGGAAATTTCGTGCAGTCAGTCAGTGCTGGAAAACAGAGACGTAAAGTTGTTTCATCTCTACTGAGAATCATCAGCAGTGCGTATCTCACGAAACTCGAGCGAGTTTTGATTGAGTTAGTCGATACGTGATCATGTGGAATGGTTTCTGCCGTTGAACAAAGAGCGGCACGATGTCCTGTCTAAGTGCGAGTTAATCACACACACGGGATTGTTGAAACTGCTAACCCAGAGTTCATGCGTCAAGAACTCCCTGAAGTATCGTAAGATAATGGTGATTCCCAATAAGGATGAAGCAACTATACATGTTTCCAGACTTTTCGGTGAACAAAGAGGGCACGATGTCCTGTCTAAGTGCGAGTTAATCACACACACGGGATTGTTGAAACTGCTAACCCAGAGTTCATGCGTCAAGAACTCCCTGAAGTATCGTAAGATAATGGTGATTCCCAATAAGGATGAAGCAACTATACATGTTTCCAGACTTTTCGGTAGAGACTGGCTTCACTCATGGGACGAGACTTTCACTGAAATCGCCAAGTGCTCCGTGGTTCTCTGAGATAAGTTCCATATCGTTCGATCAACATATTTGTGGGACATTCTCAAAAAAATCAATGTAGAGGAATAATGGACCGACACCGAAGCCCTCAGATCAATATTGAGGAATTGACCCCTGGTAGGGCTTATCCCCAGCGATGTTGGCCTTTTGCCAGCAATCAGGTAACGAGTTATTCCATTCGAAAATGTTTTCGCTTTTGAATGGCACCTGAATGAATATGGGCTAATTTGTGACTGCTCGCCTTCTTTGCTCTATTACTGGCTGAAAAGCTCTTGTATAAAATGTTCCGCATCAAAGTTCTCAAGACGACCTGAAGTTCAGCATCTGAGCTGTTAATTTTGCAGATTCTAGTAAAATCCAGTTAATGGAGAAATCGTGACACGTGCCCATTACCAACGGTCGAAAGATGTAGGTCCTTTGATTCAGTCCATGCAGCGATAATTCGTCTCTTCTTCCCCCAAAATTTAATTTTCTTGTTTGTTTTATCTATTTGTTTTGAGACTAGGTTTGGAATAGCAAAAGATATTCTAATACTCACCCTCAAGTTGGTAACACTGTAAGTTATATTTTCTACAGCTGAAGACAACTCACTGGTTAGGGTCAGACATCCATCGTTCGAATCCAACGCCGGCACATCGGCTGGCAACCCAAGTGTATCTCACTCCTGGTTCTTCCTTCCGGCAATATGACAGCCAGGCACCGAAATGGTATTGCAGCTGGACGATTTTTGTAAGATTTTTGGGAGCTTGCTAAACGATTCGTCACATATTGCTGAGATCCCGCCTCAAAGTTTTGGAGCCCATCTCATTTGTTTGTTCTTTTCAACTGTATTGGTGAGCGCGTAATTTGAATACCTAGCAGTCAGCAAGCCAGTGAAGCAACTTGGACTATCTGTCTGGTAGCTGCCGACCCAACTAGTACTTTCAAAACGCTGCGATTATCCTCGGTTTGTAGGTTGCAGTCTGACGGTAGGCAATGTTGTCCTGCACGCATTCCAGAGGTGTACAATTAATAATTCATACACGTCGACCCAACTATTCAAAACGCTGCGATTATCCTCGGTTTGTAGGTAGCAGTCTGACGGTAGGCAATGTTGTCCTGCACGCATTCCAGAGGTGAGGTGTTAGTAATTCATACACGTCAAGAAACTTGTGACAGACTGTCACAATCCACACAAGCTTATATGTTACGGATGGAAAAGTTGAGATTGGATATAGTAGAGTTGGGCGAATGGATTTCCAGCCAACGTCATTCAACAACCCAACTGGTGTTCAGTGCCTCGGCTATTGCAAGCGAAACACAAAGGACATTTTTTTGCTTCGAGCATTCATCTTGGTAACTGAACCGATATTATTGATGAGGTTCGTTTACGGACATACAAGCACGGCACACGTGTCAATCGATACCTTGAAATTTTATTCACTCACATGTGGTATCAAGCGAGTATGCACGGTGAAACTGTTTTCTGGTATGACTTCATTTCAGACACGTCTGATATCTACTCGGTTACCAGGGCCTTGTTGAGTGTCAATCAACGGAAGCTTCGTGACAGGCAGTAAGCTTTCAAATCCCCGGGGAACATTACAGTCTTGTTGCTACAAAAGTACGTTCCCAGCTGCTGGTAAATAGGAGTAAATAGGATGGGAGGCTTTATTCTTGCTGGTTTAATTTTCCTACGGAAGAGTTCATAATTTAGTACTGATAAGCTCCATGCAACTATGCCTGATGGAAGCGATAAGCGACTCCAGTCGCTCGTTGGCAAATCCATCAATCAACCCATCAATTCCACTGACGGGCAAATGAAAAACGGTGAAGAAAGCAAGTGAATAAAAGCCTATTCGATATTTTCGCCCACGTAACCAAGGAGTCAACATGGAACACTCGTTGATATGCCGCGCTTTTCAGTCTCTAAATACTGATTGATTTCTTCAGCAATCAAAAACTGTCATGCAAACTAAGCCGCCTCCAGCCCTGGATTACCACTGACGTGGTTGATTTGACTAGCGTTTACATCTTCAGGTGGACTCTTCAAATTCCAGTCGAATAATGATCAGTGAAGGCGACAAAAACAGCCAGTGAGCGAACCAAGTCGTTCCAACCTGAATAACCACCAGATCAGAACAGCCTAAAATGAGAGATGGTTAAAGGCTACAGAGTCATAAACCACCTAACACAAAATGGTGTCCCCTAGTCCTTATTTCGCGCGGAAAAACAGTATAAAAAGCTTACAATGAATTTGTATCATTAAGAAGTGACTAATCGGACTTTTCGTTCCTTTCGGTTAGTGAGTGAAAGGACACCTTTACTGTGGCCTTTTTCCAAGCTTCATTCTTGTTGTGTATGACATCCATCAAGCCGTAGCTTCGCCTAATTTGCACAGGGTTCCATGGAGGGGTTACTCTTTCCGACCAATACAAACTCACGAGCCCTTACAGGTCTACTCAAGCTGCTCGGCTGAAATCAAGCCATCACTGATACCTCCAAATACCAGGTCGCTTGCATTAACAGTCATTTCTAGCACGTCGCTACGACCAATGACTTCGTTGATTGTTCAGACTCTAGTCGTTCTACGTCAGTCCAACCCACTTGGTTTTCAATCAG